AACTGGTTATATTGTTCATAGCAGTACTTATATCAGTACTTGTTATAGTAGTGCTTGTTGCCTTATCAACTTGTTATATTATTCCTTTGAGGCTGAAGTTTAATAGCAGTACTTATTTCTTGAGCTAATTTGGTGCATTAGTTTGGGCCTGATTTTGATTTTCCTTGGGGCTGATTTTGAATGTCCAGCTTTAATTATTGAGGTTCTTATTGGATTGCAAATTTTAGCTAAGCAACCGAACTACAAGAGATATAGTGAAATTGGGAAATGGCAAGGTTTAGTGAAATTTTGTCTGATGTTAAAAATTCCCCCTTGTGTTGAAATTTGGTATTTTTTTTTCACGACAAAACAGCCTAGCAAATTGTCACACTTAAAAGACAGTATCTTTTATCGGAACAAAACAATGACTAAATTCGTTTATATTATTCCAATCTTGTTTGCCACATCCAAAGCATCGTAGTCTGGAGTCAACCGAACATATGCTTTCTTTGTTCCATCAGACCTGATCATAGTGTTCACTTTCTTGATCTGTATGTCGTACATCTTCTTCACTGCATCTTTGATTTTCTTCTTATCAGCACGGATGTCAACTATGAATACCATGGTATTGTTATCTTCAATCTTTTTCATGGCAGATTCAGTAGTCAAAGGATATTTGAGAATCTGATAATGGTCCAACTTATTCCTAGGAGGAGCACTGATGCGTGGGTACTTCGAGTTCCCGTCCTTTTTCAATGTCTTAGGACGATGGAAGGTAACTTTGGTCCGGATCTTCTTGGCTTTCTTCTTAAAAGTTGTCCCAGATTTGACAAATTTGGCAACCTTGGCTATAGGGTGTTGTTGAACTTCATTATGATATTTGAATGCTTATATGATATTTTGACATTTCGTAATGCAATGGATGCATTCATTTGCTAATTATAAATCATTGTCATTTTTTTCCATTTATAGATATAATTGTTGTAGGAAAATTTTCAATTTTCATGGTGATAAAGAGTTATCATTGAATCAGAATTTTTCATTAATAACAATATATAGTTGCACTTAAATGTTCGCTTTTGTTTATATGCTGATTTTAAGTTTAAGGATGGAGTGTAATTACTTGTAAGATTTTTTTTGTTTATTGTACCAGTTGTCATTAGATTTGGTTCAAGAATGGCTAGCAGAGAATGCCAAGGAATCAATATTGGGACAGGACATGAGTATTAGTGGAATAGCAACTTATCAGCCATTTGATGGATTGATGGAGTTGAAAGTGGTAAGTACTTTGACATTACGTCTCATTTCTATCTGTTGTGCAGTTAATACTTGTTGAGTTGCGTAAAAACCTCTGAAGTTTATTGCATTTCCTGCTTCTACTGTGCAAATTTTTCTGAAGCAATTTCTGTTCTGAAGTGCTATTGACTCTATTAAAATTGAAGGAGAAACTTCACATGCAGCAAGTAATTTGAATGAATGCCTTCTATCTGTTTTATGGTTAATACTTGCTGGGTTGCATAAGAATCTCTAAAGTTTATTGCATTTTCTGCTTCTACTGTGTTAATTTTTCTGAAGCAATATCCATTCTGAAGTGCTATTGACTCTGCTAAAATTGAAGTAGAAACTTCCCATGCGGCAAGTAATTCGATTGAATGCCTGCTTTGATGATGTATATTTAATTCATATGAAGTATCTTTTGGTAAGTGCTTTAGAATGAGTAGAATCTTGGTGAAGAATCTCCACTTGCGATACAAAATTGAGTGTGAAGCTAGTTGATATCCTGATTCTATCTAAACTAAAGACAGAAAAACAAGGGAAAGACATTCGAAATGAAGCAAATATGTCCTGCATGAGTCTAAATCATTCTGTCAATGCACAAAATCGTGTCATGAAGACAATCTTTGGCAGATGTCAAAGCACAAATTAGTCATGTATGTTGTACTACTTCTTTGAACTACTGGAATTTGCAATGCGTTCCATTGGTAGCAGAGTACAGGCAAGAAAATGAAAAACTAGATTAAAAAAATTCCAAACGTATTTAAGACTCAGGGCTTGCTTTTGCCTGCCTAAAGTCTCAAAAATCTTGAAAATGATTACTGTTTCATGTTTTTTGGTAATCAATTTGTGGTTTTCAAACAATGAATTACAAGTTTGGTCACTACAATTTGTTGTATGTGATTTGTCACTTGTAAATAATGGCTTTGACATTCCTGTGTATCCTAACCAAAGTATTGTGTCTGCATAATTATGATATTGACAAATGTGCTTAATGAACACTAGTTGCTAACTCACTTTAGTTAAAAGATGATAGTTTTGAATATGTTTCTGCTTCTTGTAGTAGCACTTTCTCTCCCCCTGCCACTGTTGGAGTCTTAAAAGTAATTATTCTGGCAATAAGTCCACAGGTTACTATTAACATGGACTCGGATAAAGTTTGACTTTTTGGCTCTAGGTGTAGCTCTTATAGCTTCCAGCTATTAGGATATCCAATTTGTCTCTTCAATTAGCCAACTTGCAATCATGTGTACGGTGCTTGGACTTGCTTTTTATCTTGTTGCTGTATATGCTGATTCACTATTCTTGTAGGCAGTAGTTGGATTCATGTCTCAAGTAATGGACAAATTAGTATCCTTCAAAAGTGCTTGGTAGGTGACAATATTAACTTGTAGTATCAAGCCTCAAAAGTGCTTGGTAGGTGATAAGGCTGCTTTTTCTTGTTTATTAGACCTTATGTATAGTTACATATTTTTAGATATATGAAATCCTATGACATTCAAAGCTTCAAAGACTACTTTTGGTCTAAAACACAGTGAAGTTTGCAAAGTTGTTTCTCATAAATGTGGAATCGTTTGTTGCTGTCCTTTGACATCTTAATATTAAAATAAAGAAGTGGAACAATTCTGCCCATATAATCCTTGGCTCTTAATGAATGTTATTAAACTTCCATCCTCTAGTAGACTCTGTTTCCGAACTACCCATATAATGTCTCTTTTTCTACTCTTTGTATAGCCACTATCTAGATGAGACTTAAAACAAATGATTCACTTTATTTTTTGGTGACTCCTTAACTAATTTTCCTTGTTTTAATTTTTCTATCATCTACTAATAACTTTACTATTTTATTGCAGATATATTGCTCATTTTAGAGGTTTGGAAGATTAGCAGTACGGCTTACGTGTCGACTCAAAAACTATGGTTATAGTGCTATCTTAAGTTTAGAAAATGTTTCGGTAGCACGGAAAATGTTTTGGGACTTGGAATTGTTTTTTAGTGTAGCCTTGACTTATATGGCAAAATTTGCTCTATTGAAACTTATCAAACTATTTGTAGTGTGATGTTGCACTTATTTATGACATTTGAATATTTAATATGTTATTATGGCATTTCCTATTGTAACGGGTGTCTACGTTTGTTATTTATTAAACATTGCTGATGTTTTCATTTTTTAGATATTATTGTAGTAGGAAAATCATCAAACTACACATTGCAAGGTGTTGTAAATGAGTAGCATTTCTCAAGCAGGTTGTCTTTATTGACAATTGTTGTTGTCACTGAATCAAAACTATTCATTGATAAGAAGTTGTTGTCACAGTTGATAAGGGGTTTATTGACAACAAAGTTGTCACTAATTAATATATACACTGACTATGTTGCTTCATGCATCATTGACAAGAAAACATGTCGTCACTAAATTTGTAGCTTTTATTGACAACATATCTTGTCATAAAAAAGTTTTTATTCACTGACGACTTTAAAGTCGTCACTGTATACTTTTACCGACGGAGATTCAGTGACGACTCTGTGACAACCGAAATGTTGTCAATAAAAGTCATCAGTGACGACTTTTTGCTTTTTTGTGACGAAAAGTAGTTGTCATTGAAGACCAAAATTCTTGTAGTGACTGCATTATATAATTTCATTCTATTTGGACAATGCATCTTTTATTGAGTTGTATTTCACTTCGTTGATTCACTTCTGATGTAATTAGTAATGAATGATTAAAGTAGTTATTTGCCTCTGTATTTGAACTTTTAAGCTTGCTCCTGATGCTGTATTTACATAACATTTCTTGAATTTGACATTAAAAAAAACACTACTAGTATCCAGTTTTTTTTCCCCCTTTTGTTTGTGGCTTTGTAATACATTGTTCATGGTTCTTTGTAGATTGAATATTCAAGAGATAATTTCTAGGATCTACATTCACATTACAGGCAGAAAAATTATCTCATTCAAGAACGTTTTGTCTACAAAAAATTACTGCTACAAGTTTAAAATTTCACTGCATTATAATGATTCGACCTCTAAACATCAGGAAGTGGCCTTGGCTAAGAACCTGACTTCGTGAATCATATCCACATGTTTAAGACTGATAATGGATGAAATGCTGAATCCGAAGCTAAAGTATCCTCCTTCAAGACACTGAGATCATAAACACAGAGAATGCAGATTACACCCTTTTTATAAAATCTATTTGTTGGCTGTTATGATCAAGTATATAACGTCTCCAGTTCACACTCCAAGGCTGTTGGCTGTTATGACCAAGTGTCAGATTAAAAAATCTTCTTAAAACCAGTTATACTCTTCTTAACTTAGTATCTAGAATCATAGAAGGAATCACAAATTTACTTTGACAGAGCGAATTTTTAGTTCTATACTGCAGTGGCTGTTGAAAAACTTGCTGTCAGGGCCTGAAAAATCTTTTATGTATCAGCTCAAGGCTGCTAAATTCTCGTCAATGGACATGGAATGTGATGAATGTTTGTTTTGGACTATTTAATGCTGTCATAAATTCTCTCACACACTCTCTCTTAGCGTATATTTAAATGTGTTTGATTGTTCCTAATATGTTACAGGAAGGCTTGTTTAACCTTGCCCTGCATTTAAGTGAAGTCGGTGCATTCTTCTTGATAGCAAAGTTGTGGGCTGACATGAAGTTGGGCATGCTTAAAGGCTGAAGATCGTCACTTCAGTCTTCCTTGTATCTGTGGTTTTATAAAGGTATTTATTTTCAAGCACTTAGAATGCTGTTAATAATACAGGATTCATCAACTTATGATATTTTGTTTATAATACAGGATTGTCTTGGAGCGTTAGACGGTACTTATGTTAAAGTACATGTTCTTCTTAGAGATCAAGGAAGATATAGGAATAGGAAGAATGAGATAGCAACAAATGTTTTAGGTGTATGCTCCCGTGACATGAGATTTACATATGTATTGCCTGGATGGGAAGGTTCTGCAGCAGATAGTAGAGTTCTACGGGATGCGTTAGTTAGATCAGATCCATTAATTGTTCCCAAGGGTATGTGACAATTAGATATCATGTGTTTTTTTTCTTTTAACTATAAATGAGTAATAATTTGTTGTCTAACATTACAGGCAAGTACTTTCTTGTTGATGCGGGTTATGCAAATAGCTCCGATTTCTTAGCTCCATATAGGGGAGTTAGATATCATCTTAGCGAGTGGTCTGCTAGTGGGAGGAAGCCTCAAAATTTTAAAGAGTTATTCAACCTTCGACATTCAATTGCTCGAAATGTGATTGAAAGGACATTTGGTTTGTTCAAGAAGCGGTGGGCCATTTTGAGAGATGCATCTTTTTTTGATGTTAAGACTCATGTCATGATAATTAATGCATGTGCCATCCTTCATAATCTTATTCGAGTAGAACAACCAAATGACCCTTACTTGGATGAAGTTGATGCTGAGATGCGAAGAGTACAACATGAGGTTGATGATGAAGATGAAATGGAAGATGAAGATGAGGAAAATGGAATGGAAGATGATGGTCCAAATAATGATGGTGGTGTAAATGCTGTTAACGAGAATCGAATTCGAACAGTACAACCAACTAGCGAGTGGACACAATTTAGGAATGCTTTAGCACGAGCAATGTTTATTGACTATCAAATTAGACAAGGCCATCATGGAAGTTGAAATTTGATAGGAATTTATTCGAACTTAATTTAATATTAGAATGGCCATTTATTGAAAAATAGTAGCAATGTATAACTGTGCTTTTCTTTCTCTTTTTTTTTTTTGGCTAAAAACACGTTGTTTGTGTATTCATCTATTGAAATTTCTTGTAAGATACAAAACTCAAATATTTATAATAGGTACAAGTTATGACTTTCCTCCCAATTCATATCATAGAGTAGGCTTTTGATTTTCTAAAATTTAAAGTTCTTAACTTTAAATTTGTATCAAGGTTTTAACTCGATAAATATTAACTACTTTTTAAGTTAGAATATACAATTATTTTTTATTTAATTTAATTTAATTTAAAAAAAAGAATTTTTTTATTTTTGCAAAAAAGGAACTAATTTTTTTTCTTTTAAAGCTTTATTAACAATTAGTTAAATGCAAGAAAAAATAAATTATTAAAGGTACTAATTGGTTTTTTCCTTAAAGCTTTAGTAACAATTAGCTAAATGTTAAAAAATTATTATATAGTAAAAAAAGAAATTTTTTATGTAAGGAAATATTAGTTGGAAACAATTCTAATTCCTAATGAATTCTTCTCTCATCCAAACAAAGAATTTGGAATTCCAAATAAATTCCGTATCAATTCTATGTATTTTCCAAACGAAAGAATTGCAAGGATTTGGATTTCTAATTCATAGAATTCAAATTCTATAGAATTCCAATTCTAATTCAATTCTAATTCTGTAGAACCAAACGTACCCTAAAGAAATAGAACTTAACCCCCCTTTTGATTTGGGAATGAACTTATGCCCCGGCCCCCCTTTCTATGAACTATGAAAGGGGGAGATGGATTTTATTGCTGTATTTATTGGATCCGTCGGGACTGGCGGGGCTCGAACCCGCAGCTTCCGCCTTGACAGGGCGGTGCTCTGACCAATTGAACTACAATCCCAGCGAAAAAAGGGATCTTGCAGAGATTTTTATTCTTTTTATCTCCGCATCGAGTCTTTATGAAAGATAGGGGGTTATACCCTCTCGTGATAGATTGGATTGGCGAATTGGGCGAATTATTGGGCCGAGTTGGATTTGAACCAGCGTAGACATATTGCCAACGAATTTACAGTCCGTCCCCATTAACCGCTCGGGCATCGACCCAGGAAGAATCACTTTTAGACTTATTGTATTGATAATCCATGATTAACTTCCTTTCGTAGTACCCTACCCCCAGGGGAAGTCGAATCCCCGCTGCCTCCTTGAAAGAGAGATGTCCTGAACCACTAGACGATGGGGGCCTACTTGCCCAACCGCCATCATACTATGATCATAGTATGAACAGTTTTTTGAAATTGTCAATATAATGTAATGGTCTGATTGGATCTTTCTGCCTTTTCTAGGTGTAGAGAATTTTGCGATTTGTCATTCATGAATCGTTCATTCTAATCGCCATTCTCCACTCTATATATATAAATAAATCTAGTTATAGAAATCTATATTATTTAGTCTAATATAAAAAGAAAATCAAAAAAGTAGAAATAACACAAAGGATAAGATTTTATCAGGGAGTCGTTGGTCCAAAAGGGGGTTAAATTCTATTTCTTTCACTTTCATTCTTCCATTCATTATTAAGATGAGATACCCTTATCTCATACTAAAAAAAAGGAAATTACTAAATACTAAATTTAGTATTTAGTAATGGGATTCATAAATTTTCGAAAAAAAGTTTCATTTAGTTCAGGGAACAAGACAAATAGAATCTCTTCATCATATGATTCGATGAAATATCTTGAAATTTATGTCGAATTGGTTTAATTCATTTACCTTTTGCAAACATTAATCACTCTTTTTGCGCCATTCAATTACTGATTGAGATTGAATTAACAAATTTTCTGATTGAGAAACTTATTGGTCTATTCGTCAAAATAGAGTGGTTCTATTCTATATGAAGGAAATTTCTCAAGGTCATAGTTCTCCTATTTACTGAAAAATTAGATGGAAGAATGGTACCCAAAAAAAAAAAAGACTCCTACAAGAAAAAAAAATTAATGGATAATGTCAAACACAGCAACGAATCTCTTTATTGCTAACTATATATGGCTTTTTACATTCAGCTATGAAATGCTGCAGATTACGAGTTGAGGTCCGAAAGCCTTATGAGGATTAAGCATTGGAAAAATTGCTAACTCTTCGAACAATTGTTCAAGCAAATGGCCAGTTGCTCCTTATCTGCAAATAACAAACAGAATCAGTTGCTATAGAAAAAAAAAAAGAGTCTGTAACACTAAAACTTTCATTTTATTTTTTCTGGAAACTTAATCCTAAACAGAAGTACTTGTAGAGAGAGCAAGAGATTACCAGAATGAAATTTGCTTCATTGGTTAACAAAACAGCTACGCTTATTCTGGGAGGATTCATCTGCAGGTGGATGGCACCTTCTTAGGCACTGCTGAATGCAGAAATTGACCCGAGGTGGAGGCACGTCCGCGCATTCTTGAAGGCAATCATCCTCGCAATCATTAGCAGCTTCTGCAGATACAAAATGGAGAAGTAGTGCCATGGACATGATGATAACCACTGGTGCCAGCCTTGCCATTGTTATGAACCTTCACTTTTTTTTTTTAATATAAATGGAAAACAAAATGGTAGAGAAGAAACTAGACAATGGACTTATTTATAGGTAGAAATGATTACTCACATATTATTGTATCCCCTATAAAGTGTTTACTCTATTAAAAGAGGAGAATTTGGTTAATGATTAATTGATAGATACGGGAATTGAATGACTTACCATTTACAAGCGTTATAATCATTTATTCGGCTCTTCATTTTTATTTTTTTTAGAGAGATTTTAAATTTTACAGCTGAGATACTTAACTGCTAGACGATGCTCTAATGCAGGAAAGTTTCTAGCGAAGAAAATGTACTTTTCCAACTTGGGCTCTTTGAAATATGGGCGTGGAATCGCAGCTTACACTTTGGGTTTTTTTTTTTTGGGGGTAATCTTTTATGTTTCTTTTTTTTTAATTGTGGTCCTTACAAATCTGCCACTATTCATCTTGGTTTTTTTTTTTTTTTTTTGGCTTTTATTTTTTGGTTGAGTCAAACATATTCCAAATGACTAAACTTAACCCGACCACTTTTTTTTTTTTATTTAAAGAAGAAGTTTGAAAACTCTGTCAATCATTATGTGATCTTTTTTTATATAATTTTTTTAAGCATTATGTGATCAAAACATGGATTGGGCTCTTTGAAATATGGACGTGGAATCGCAGCTTACACTTTGGGTTTTTTTTTTTTTTTTTTTTTTATTGTGGTCCTTACAAATCTGCCACTATTCATCTTGGTTTTTTTTTTTTGGCTTTTATTTTTTTTGTTGAGTCAAACATATTCCAAATGACTAAACTTAACCCGACCACTTTTTTTTTTTTTTAATTTAAAGATGAAGTTTGAAAACTCTGTCAAACTGAAGGACTGTGACTGACCTAATCAAGTTAAATATTTTGATGCTTAAACTTATTTGTTTATTTTAAAGTGTTTAACATTATGTATTGATGTCAGAGAAGTAAAAAAAAATGAAAAATAAAAGTTGATTAATGGAAAAGAAAAAACGAAGGAACGAATAAACAAGGAGAAAATAAAACAATGTACTGTAATAAGGGTAGTTTTGTCCTAAAATATCAAGTAAGGGCAAAGTTCCCGTTTGATGAGTTTAGGGGGTAAAGTGCAATTGAGGGTAAAATTTAGGGGGGGTTCAGTGCATTTAACTAGAATTAAAAAGAAGAAAAAGAGAAATCAAAGAGGTTATTGTTAGGAGTTAAAGTGAAAAAAAATTAGAGAAGAAAATTGAACTGTACAAAACCAAAAACTTAAGGAAGGAGGGGGGGGGGGATTAAGTGTTCCAATTCCATGTCAAAATTCAACGTAATATTCCATCCAATTACGCGTTCCTAAAGAATCCTAAACACCCTCGTAAAAGTTGTTTAGCAGACTTTTACTATTTAAATACAGGATTTGTAACCTAACCTGGCATTAATGATTTTTTTTTTTCTGTACGGCTTCCCCTCCCTTTAAACTAAATTAAAGTAAGTTATACAAATATTATCATTGCAATAAAAAAGGACTCTCTAATCGAGTAATCGTTCACTTCCCAAGGTAAAAAAAAAAAGGATGATGACAATTGTGGAGGCAGCTCATTGCAAAGAAGGGATTCAAGAATTTCTATCGTATACCGTCAAAACCCTCAACGAAAAGCAGAAATCCGTCAAACAATTTCTATCAAACACTGTCAACAATCTTTCAGGTTCTCGCCTACAGACAACTTCCCTTGTGATCCAGCTGCAGCGGATGAGGAAGATGAAGATGATGATATATGGTATTTTATAGATTACAATCAAAAAGAAGTTGAGAATGATACTTGGAATGGTTACAGGAAGGTGGAAGTAGATGAGAGACTGTCTTCTTTAGATTATATTACAGAGGAAACCGAGGACATCCACAATTACCTGCTCGGCCTTGAGAATGGAGGATCAATGTGCTATTTGTCTAGATGGCTTTGTTGAAGTTGATCATGAAGATAATATGTTATCAATATTAAGTGTTACTTTTTTTTTTTTTAAAGGAATGCTATTCATAATCTGTATAATGATTTTGCCTCTCATGTAAAAGAATTCAGATTAATCTTTCCCTTCAATATGATAGATTCGAAACTTTTTTGTAGTGTTGAATAGAAATAGCTGGATAGGTTAATGTTCTAGTTGTATATACATACCCTAATTTTAGTTTTAACTCAATTGATTTTGCCATTTATCTATTTTGTAACCTTTAGGAATTTTTATTTGCTTGAATACTAATATTTTGGTCCATCACGGGGCTTTGCCAACTCAACTTAGTGAAGTGAAGATTGTCATCTCATTGTGGGGACGATGGAATTTGAAAAAATAACTTGAGAATCAAAATAAAGATATCTATCTTTGCCCCATAAAATAGTTCAAAGACAAGAACTGAAAATGAATTAT